CTAAACCAAGGTCAGGTTACTGTGAGGATTTCAAGGTTAACTTAGAGACAACATGGTGAACCAGACACCACTTCCCAGGTATCCAATAAAGGGAAACTGAGGCACATGGAACATAGTTGCTGAATCAAGTCAAACAGACCATGGGTGGGAGATCAGTGGTGCATGTCACTGTAGCCAGATTCCCATGCTCTGCATGCTAAGGGCCTATTAGGCATCTGTGCACCAGAGACCAGTAATTGGCTCAGGGCACTGGCAGCCTGGAGGGGACAGTCTGGTCTGGGAGTGAGAGGAAATGGAGAATAATCAACTTTTACTTTATAACCAAATACCCTCCCTCAACAGAGTGCCCAGGCCTTCCCTCACAGCCGCCCAGGACAGAGTGTCAATCCTGCGTTAACTGAGAAATCCTTTACATCTGAATCCAACCATCTAAGCCATCAGGACTGGGCTGGGCGTCCTCACTCCCTAGTGGTCACTGAACTGCCCTACTCCATGCAAATCCCGCCTGGGTCCAAGGTGGACAGGCTGATAATCCCTCCTTTCCCAACATACATGGCACAGGTTCCAGAAATCACCAACCAAACTTATATAGAGTCACTTCTGAGATGTGAATGTGCCCCCAAAAGCATGTAGTGGGAACTGAACTCCCAGGGATCTGAGGTGTGGCCTCAGGGAAGGACATAGGTCCCTGTGAAAGGAACAAGGCTGCTGTCACAGAAGGGGACCAGGTCCTGCAGAGGTGGCTTTCTGAAAAGGGGTGAGTGTGGCCCCTTCTGATCTCTCCCCATGGGGAGCCCCCACTGTTAAGATGCAGCAAGCAGCCCTCCTCACATGGGGCCCCTAGATCTTGCACTTCCTCACTCCAGAACAGTGAGCAGGAGTCACACTTCTTTACACACCACCTGTCTCAGGTGCTCTGTTAGAGCAGCACAAGATGCACCAAGACCAGCACAGAAGTTCTGGAAGATAAGACACAAGGGTCCACGGGAAAACCCGCTTGATAATGAGGTGGCTGGACCTGGGGCCTGAGAGGAGTTTCCCATCTGGATCCCAGAGAGATATCAAGGGACCAGTTTGGGGTCTCCCTGAGGTCATCTAGGGTCAGAGGGAGGTTGAGCAAGTCCCTATTTTAAGATAAGGAACCTGAGGAGGTTGCTGGGTCGTCCAAGGTCAACGTATTGCAGTATATTTTGTAGTTTCCCAGAACAGACTTGAACCATTTCAGACCCAAGATCATAACAAGGGCATCTCATTTCTGGGTCCTCAACCACTGTCCATGGCCTCAACCATCCAGCTCATCCTCTGGACCCCTCACCCACATCACGATGGCCCTGAGAACAGGCAGACGTCTCTGAGGACGACAGGGACCCAGGCCTCAGGCCTGCTGTCAGTCAGCCCCCTGCTGTTTTTCCACAGGGCTTGTGGCCCAGCCCTC